AACTAATGGAACCCTTCATATTTTCATGTGTGAGGAAGTAGTGTGTATGTGTATTTTATGTAATTCCTATGGATCTGAGGTGTGGAGAGAGAAGATATAGAACTTCCCTAACTTGCCCCATTTTAACTAGAAGGCTACTTTCCATTCTCTATATAATCTAGTATTTGGGAATGCTATAATACTTCATTATCATATATTATAACCATATTGATTTGCTAAAAACCTTTCCCTAATATTAAGCCAAATTCAATTTCCATTAAACTCCACTCATTGGCCCCAATTCAATCCTTTACACCTATACTGAATGCAGTATATCTAATTTGAAGATAACACTCAGGTTCTCCCTATTATTTCTCTTCTCCAGGCCAAACATACTCAATCACTTTAGAAAATTCATCACCAGGCATAGAGACCCTTCACCATTTTAGTTGCTACTTCCGGGCATGGTTTTATATGCAAATGTGCTCACTGTGCCTTTTAAAGTGGGGCTCCAGAACTGGACAGGTGTAGGTTGTCTGACCATTACAGAGGCTAGTACGACCATTATCTCCCTTGTTCTGGGTATTGTATTTCTAAAAGCATAATCCAACATCCCCATATCATTCTGTAGACACATAGTGAGCTAAGAGTACAACCCTTTCCTTCTTTGTTATGTTCAGCCAATTCTCTCCCTCCTCTATTTTGTACTTGTGCACTGGTTGTGGGGAATCTCAAATCAGGACTTTATCAGCTGCCCCATTAGATGTCACAGTATGTTCAGGCAAAGGCTGTAGACAAGATCAGGAACGAGCACCCTCTATCACTAAGTAGCTCTGCTTCCCATCCCCCGGCCTCCACTACTTATGAACACACTTGGGGAGAAAGGGAACTCCATTCCTGGAAAGTTACTCAAATACATTCACTGCCTCTGCAGAACTGTTGAATAGAGCCATCAACTTGGAAAATCTATTGTCTTCGAGTCTCTGACTCCTTGAAACATTCTTCCTGGTTGACCGAGTATCATTTATCTCTGGAACACCCCACCCTTCACTACTGAGACGTCAAAACCTATATTCAACTTACTGCACAAGCCTGATTATGTTTTCAACAAAATAATCATGCTTCTTTCTCTATTAGCACAAAATGCTCCACCCCTCTGAAGATCTTAGAGTGCTAACGATAAATCCTTACAGAAGGACTGCCGCAGGTCTTGCCAGTTTTCTCGGGGCACTCAGCACTCCAGCTGATACAGTGAAAGAGAACACACTCAGGTCAGATGGCAAGAATACTAATCAGAGCATTGCCCATCTTTGACAGTGACACTCACCGGAACAACCTACATTCTCAACAATAAAAGTAATAGCCCTTCCCTGCTGTCTTCAACAAAATCCTAAATTCAAATGTGGAGAGTATTATTATGTTCTCCGAAGGTTTAGCCAGGAGGAGAAAAGAGTAACATGATCTTAAGATGTAGAATATAAGGGGCGCCTGGGTGGCTCAGATGGTTAAGCATTTGCCTTGGACTCAGGTCATGATTCCAGGGTCCTGGGATTGAGGCCCTGCATCGGGCTCCCTGCTGCTTCTTCCTCTCCCTCTGTCATTCCCTCCGCTTGTGCTCTCTGGCTCTCTCTGTCAAAGAAATAAAATCTTTAAAAAAAAAAAAAAAGAATATAAGTTCATCTCCCAAGGAAAAGGCAGAGCAGTGTGTCCCAGAAGAATATTTCCCTGTTCAGATTTTCAAAACGTTGCTCCAAATTTAAACTTTGTCTTTTAACGCATAAAATTTTTAAAGATCACATTCAAGTTGGGTACTCAAAGACAAAATGAAATAATTATCTGATTAATTCAATCAGCTATTCTATATAATTAAGACTCCTGTACCTTTTCACGTCGTTGTTTTTTATTTGTTTGTTTTTTTAAGGTCATTCTCCGCATAATTTCCACGACTTTCCACTTCATCTTAGCTGAGAAATGTGTGATTTTGAAAAGAACTTTATGGATGTAGTATCAAAGATTTTCCTTCCACTGCTTTGGGGGAGGGGAGAACTTCTACCACTGCCTTTTAATTTTTCCCCACTGTCAGGGTTGTGCTTAAAGAGCCTATTAAACCATTTATTATATGTGAGAAGGGCACTGGAGGAATGATTGTTTCCACATTGCAACAACAAGGTAATCATAAATCTAAAAGGTTAACAAGAAAAATGAAATCAATTTTATACAAGTGAATCATGTTAAAAGAGTCAAAATGATATTTTACTTGCTAGTTATGAACCTGTTGATCTGATCCTATGCTTTGGAAAGAGTGAACTCAATATTGTGAAACAATGATGAGGACCACAGATTTCGTTGCTTATTAAAACGTTTAGTATAAACCTTGATTTTGGCTGTCCACACATGTCAGCACATTTTGGCTGAAATTCAATATGAGATTACTTGGACAGTTCATTTTCCTTCTTCTGTGTGATGGAAAAAAAATTTAATGCTTGAGCATAAAAACTGTTCTTATTATTAAAGAAAGAAGAAAAAAAAAGAAAATCTAGTAAGTGCCTTAAATAATAAAGAGTACTGTGCAGATACAAGCCTTATTAGCGTTCCTTAGTATCATGGTTATTTATGTAAAATTCTTTATTGACAGCATAAATCCACGATTTCATTATTATTTGCTGCTAATACGATGAACATTATAAACAAAAAAATAAAAAAATTCATTTCAGATTTATAACTAATGAGACACCAAAGTTTATTAAAAACACTTGTGGCATCTCTCAAGCATTTTAAAATGCCAACTTCAGAAATGGAAACAAACAAGTACGGTGTTCTCTATGCTTGATCTGAGCTGTGCTAATTTACCCCATGTATGTTTTATTAAATAAAAAAAGATAAACATAGGACTTTATAAGCCTCTAGGGAGAGACGCCACAATTCACCAATGTTATGCCAAAGGCATGAAGTGTGAAGAACCGAGAGGCAGATGGAGGAAAATGAGTCTTGCTTGAAGTAATTTTTCAAGCAACTGAAAAGATGAAGTTCTCTAGGAAATGTCTTTAGAATGACTTTTATGTGCTCTATTGATCAAACTGGCCCAGGCATTAGTGCACTTTTTGGGTTTAGAGACTCTTACAAAAACACTGCTAAAAATGAATAAACACATACACGCATACATACATGAATGTCCACCTGTTACACAGGACTTTTTGTCCATTTCCACTTACCTGACCTACACTGCCAGAGGTTCTCTAAATGGAAGTCCAATATTCTATCAAGGTGGAGTGACCGAAACTAGGTGGCTGGGATCTCTTTCAATCTCTACCCTGGAGATGCAACACCAAAGATTTAATTCCAGAGATACCACTATGCCATAGTATCAGCTATCTCGGACTTACGCTCCACTCTAGCAGCCTTTTCCTGATACTCTAATCCATGGTGACAAATGTATCCTTAATGTGCACAACACTTTTCACTTGCCCTCATAGGAGACCACCTTGAAGGAGCGAGTAAAAGGTTTAGTCATGGTTTCTATTTTTCTATTTGAATCAATACATTCTAGTTAAATGGACAATTAATAGGTCACTTCCAAAATAGTGGTGTATCAGTCCTGGTTAATAAACAATCCCCAGAGTAGATAATGGGCTCTATGTATTCAGCAAGTCCTGTATACACTCAGCTCATCCACTAAATCCCTTTTCAGGTGGACAGGGTTATACGGGAAGATGAGCTAGAATGAGTCTATAAAAGTCAGTTTCATTCACTGCTTTATTTTTCAGTCAAGTGCTTTAAATGGTGTCCAGAAATTCACTCGGAATGTGAGACAGGAGAAAAGATGGACACACAGAGCCTTGCTTTATGACCATACAAAAGGGCAACTGACCCTTGCCCAAGCCTTTTCCATGTGAAATGGCTCCTAAAGTTCATCTGCACAGTGAAAAATCGTGGTGAGGTCGCGTGTGGATGAGTCAAGTGAAAGTGACGATTGGTCACGGGTCTGTCACCCATTGTGGCTGGGCCCCTGCCATGTAAAGTGCTCTGTGGGAAAGTATCAGCCCCCTAAAGAGATGCTCAGAAGCCTGCAGCTCATTAAACGGCCAGCATTTGTTGCCTCGCTTGTCAGGAATCATTCTGTTGAGCAACTGCTCTCCTGAAACATTCATAAAACACATGAACAGAGAGGCAGCAGGGACCTGAATTCAACCGTGATAGAGCTCTGTACTTCAGCTTGACTCAACTCGGATTTCACTTTTCGCCTGACAGAGGGGTTAACTTGAATAGCAGCTGAAATAAATGTGCCCCTTTACGGGACTTCTTTTTCATAAACTCAGATTCTCTGCCTACAGATTCTTATTTGACCTAGAAATCTCAAGATCAAGGTGAACTTAATTTCTTTTTAGTTTGACATTGTTTTCTTTGGGTATGTGTGTGTGTGTGCATGCACCCTCTGAAAGTTTTTCCAAGTTGTTGTTCTCACTTCAGCCCTAGACACTGTTTAAATTTTGTAATGTTCAAGGAGAAGTTCTCTTGAAAATATTTCCTACAACTTCGGTTGGTTTTCTTCAAGATCATAAAGAAGAGGTATTTATCTCCTTTTACAACCTGGACAATTTCAATTATTTTCTATGGACACCCAGTGACTTTCTGTGTCACATTTTAAGCTGAAAGAAATTTTACATAGCACTATTTCTTAGCCTTCCTTCCTTTCTTTTTTTCTTCTCTAAATGAGTATTGCTACACGTTTCAGAAAGAGCCAAACTGGTCCCTCTGAGATCTTTTATATCAAATGGAAAACAAGTTGCTTTCCTTGGTGTGTCAGCCCTGGGTTTCAATGCCATTAGAAACTGCTCACAATTGCTCAGTGTGCTGAGGTCTGATAAATCTCTGGAAACCTCCTGAATAGGATCGCTGTGATTTTTAGTGAGGATTTAGCTCCTTGCCATTGCATTACCAATTAGTTTTCCAGAGCACATTAAATCCTGCTGCTTTGGTTTACAGAATAACTGAGGCATTGCTGATGAAGCATAAAAACTTACTTGCAAAAGCAGTGGGGGATGCAGGGCGCCGACAGGACCCACCACAGCATGCCGAGTAGAATGGCGGGGCGCTCAGGAAAAAAGGTTTGGAAGATGCTGTAGAGAAAGCATTGATCTCATTGATGAGCCATTTCTTTCAGACAATATTCAAAATTCCATTTTCCCGAAAGTCACTGAGTAAAACACTTCATTTTCTGAGGCTTTACTTAACTAGTTATAACTTTTACTGAAATTAAAGTCATTCTAAAGTAGTCTTTATCTGCCAAAGAGATTGCCAAATAGTTTAATCAAGATTTGGAAGATATGTTGGAAAGACTCAGTGGATCAAAACCAAACTTAATTTTCTGTGTGGTCATAATTATATGTAGCATGTATTCCTTTATTTAAAATATCCCAGAGCAACACTGTCCAAGAGAATGATCTGTGGTGATGGAATGTCCTTTATCTCCATTGTCCACTTGAAGGTAAATATTTTTATTACTCTCCCTACATATTCAATGGCAACTTTTTTCTTATCTTAATCATATTTAGTGAATATTATTTTGATATAAAAACATACATTTTTCAAGAACACAATAATTTCACACTTGTATTTTAACCAATTGATAAGCATGTATTTATTTTCACCAATATTTTTGCAGGCTATATCAAAATAAGTGCATTGCCCAATAAGAATTTTGGTTCCTAATGCCTTCAAATTGCAAATTAATCATAAATCACAATATAATGGAAAGTTGCCAATATTCACGTTCTCAGTTTTTCAATATCCAAATTTTCAAATAATAAAATGTTTGTCTTAATGATATTTTGAGTCATACACAGCTGGCTCAGTCAGTGGAGTGTGTGGCTCCTAATCTCGGGGCTGTAAATTTGAGCCCCACACTGGGTGTAGAGATTACTTAAAAATAAAATCTTTTAAAAAATGATATTTTGAAAATATAGCAACTAAGCAAAGTATGAAAAAGAAATCCATATTGGTGTTCAAAAGTACTATAAAACCTGAAAAAAAATTTTTTTTAAGTAGGCTCCACACCCAATGTGGGGTTTGAACTCATGACCTGACATCGAGAGTTGCACGCTCCACTAAATGAGACACCCAGGCAGCCTATAAAACTTGTTCTTAATTTCACTGCTATCATAAGTTATTCTAATATTGACTATAAAGCCATCAAAGAAATGATAAATCATTCATTTTAATTTAACATCTTATGTTACAATAAAATGACGTTATTTTGGCAGTTACATTTTCCATTATTCTCGGACTATATGAAGTACTTTGAAAAATGAAAATCTATTTTTATGTATAAAAGCTGTCACATTATGTTTATTCTCAAGCATTTCTGTTAACTCATTTCAGCTCCAAAATAAACACTCCACAGATAATTAAGTTATGGCTATTGTGCTGTTTGGCACAAAATGCAATGCTGTATTTACATAGATACAATGAAACATTTATCATGATAGCTGGAAAAACACACATAAAAGAAGTATTTTTACTTACTACACTTAAAGTGTAGAAAATAAGTACACTAGTGATACTGTTACCATAACCATGCAAAATACGTGCAAATTACAAATTTTACTATTCTAGCCAAGATGTTTCTCAGTCTAACCGTATGGCCCTGAAAATAGAAAGATAAAAGATTTTAAAAAATGAATGGTTCATTTGAGACAAGTGATCAATTAAATTCATCTGTGATAAATGAAGTTTTGAGATATATGATCTTAGTGTTAAGTTTAACCATAAAAAGTTTTTACTTAATAGTTTGTTATATTACTATATATTATCTTACCTTAATAAAGTAAACCTGCAATCAAAATAACATGTTATCTACAGTAATAAATTCATGTGGCTAAGGAACTACATGTTACATGACCAGGCTTCAGGTTCTACTGCATAGAATTTCTTCACCATTTTAAAAATCATCTCTTTGACATACATATATTTACACAGATTAGTTGATTCATGATTTCCATACATAAATACACCTTGTTTAAGCTGGCTTATGTGAAAATTGCTGTGAAATTCCAATTAAGTGCTCCATTTTTTTTTTAACATGTGCCTACTTTGACATAAGTCAAATGCTAATCCTGCTAAGCATGTGATTGCAGGGGTGTCAAATGGTACGTGGAAATAACCATTTAAAACAATGAAATGCAAAAAAAATAAATAAAATAAAATAAACAATGAAATGCATTTAAAAATATATATTACACTTCTAAATTTTTGTAAATGACATGCTCTTTAAAGCAATAAACAAAAAAGGAAACTCAATTGTGATAAAAACAAAGCAAGAAGTTGACAGACCTGTTAAAACTTTAGCCTGGTGATGGGTATTAAAGAGGTCATGTACTGAATGGAGCACTGGGTGTTATACGCAAGCAATGAATCATGGAACACTACATCAAAAACTAATGATGTAACGTATGGTGATTAATATAACATAATAAAAATAAATAAATAAATAAATAAATAAATAAATAAATAAATAAAACTTTTGTAAGCCATTAAGAACTACTCAGAAGATGCTCTGAAAAAGGCAGAAAACAATGCAATTTCACCCTGGATGATATGCATTTCAAAGCCCTTCAATGCAATTTAAATGCAGTCACTTTATCACTGATCCTATTGGGAACAATCTGTCATGGGCTTACTGAACAATATCTATGATAATAATATTTAAGGAGTGTCTACTGTACACTGGGCACTGGACTAGCTATGAATTTAACACACGCTTTCTCTTTCATTCATTAGCATTCAGCCTCAAATGGGTATGCATCTGGAATGTGATGAGGCCTCTTTTCAGCCAATTTTTTTAAAAAGAACAAGAGAAACATAAATATGTTAGCATAATAATTATTAGCCAGGAAAGATAAGGATTTCATGCAGAGACTGCCAGAGCTGGAACCCAGAAAAGGGACCTATCTGCCAAGCTTTCCATAAGAGAAAAACAAATGGCCTTTCATATGGGGGGAAAAAAAAGCATACTGTCAGGTGCTACAGCATGATGTCAGGTTCTGTTAGCACACGTTTCAGGATACTCTGAATTTTGTATCCCACTGACAAATCTAGTTTCCAGTTTCTGTGGAAATCTGCTACAAGTCACAAACAAATCACTTAAAATTCTTGGAACTGAACTGTCTGAATCCAAATGAATAAAATCACTTATTCACAGAAAACCTCATGAACTTTTGACTTCTTAATCAGATGTTCTGACTCAACTGAAGCCACAGAATCAAAATATCTATTAACTATTTTGAATATTTAATTAAGGTGGGAACTTCAAGCCAACTTAATGGTGAACTGACCTGATTTCTTTTTAAACTTAAGTAGATGGTTCTGTGATACAAGCATCTCATAGCCAAGGATGGTTACAAGCTTACCTACAGAGAAATTATTTTCAAAATTCCATTGTTTAGAAAGCAAGCAATAATTTTTAAATTGCTTTTCTGTTGTTATATTCACTCTTTCACTGATGGTGCAGAACAAGGGGTATTTAAAAGGGGTGAAACCACATTCTTTTTATTGTCAGTGCAAAACTGTGGTACTAACTGACTTGAGTTGACATTTCAAAGAGAATACCAAAGACCACTAATAAAACCTTCAAATAAATTTCAGGAGTCCACCGCAACGCTATGCCAACTGCAGCACCTTTTAAGGATGAGGAGAAAGGAGAAAAAGTTCCAAGATGTCTTACATCTTGGCAACCAAAGGGTCAAGATATACCTTCAGGAAATAAAGGGGAATTAAATAATTTTTTAAAAATGGTTTTAAATTACCTTCTTCAAGTGCCTGGTACATGGGCACTGGGAATAAAGAAATCTAAACTTCTGACCTGAAAATAATACACAATTGGAATAGAGTGGACCCAAAAACGAGACTCCAAAGAATGGCAACCAGATGCCCTGCGTATTAAGACCTAAGAAATATCACTTACCTAATGAGGTGTGATTTATTTTATCACACAACCTGGAAGGAATTCATTTATGTGATCCACATGCAAATTTGCCTTCAGTCACAAGGGAAAGCAAGTTAACTAAATTCATCCTTTATCTTCCTGCTCATCAGAAAACAACAGAAGTCCACATTTTTTTTTCGTCAATGAGTATTTCAGACACAGAAAAACAAAGGTCTTAATGTTCTGGTACAGCTCATGAGAAGATAAATCAAGTGTAGTGTCTACTTGTTTGATTCTATCCTTTTAATTCTGTGCAAATAATATTTATTGCATCTCTATCAAGTGCCACACAGTGTACTGTGTACTGGGATTACAAAGATGAAAAAGGACTGTTTCCTTCCCTAGAAGAATTTCTACTTAGTGCTTCTTAACTTACAGATTTACATCTGCTGGTCAAAGAAATGAAATGCGAATTTTTCTGTTCTCCAAAGTTAGTTTTGTTCTGTAAAATCTGAGGCATTCCCCAAGAAAGAGATGAGATTTGAAAAAATTCATTGGTTCTCAACGCTGAATACACACTAGAATTATCTGGAGTGCTTTTCAAAGATACGGATGCCCAGGCCACACACCAATGGGGCTAAATCACACTGGCTAAGGGTGGGCTCCTTAGCACAGCATTGTTTCAAAAGCTGCACAGGTCATTACAATGCATCGCCAGGAGGGAAACACTGAAAAGAACACAAAACAATGTCTGACACAGCAGGCACTCAATAAATGTTAGCCTTTACTCCTGCCATTATTATGTAATTTGAGATCAACAGTGAGACAACGTATAAAAAGAAGCAGCATGGTCAAGACTTCCACTGAAATAGAGAAGTAAAAAGAAAAGATTATTGTTAAGAAGGCTTTGTCAAAGAAGGCTTTAATCAGGAACAACATCTTAATCTACATCTTAATTTGGAAGGTATTTAGAACGGCAAAGGATGAGAAAGAAGGCATTCCAACAAGGAAAGGTGGCATGAACGAAAGGAAGGGGGGGCGAGGAGGGACATGTAGGGTAGGTTAAGAAAACCAGCCCGACTGCTGGCACAAGGCCCAAAGACTGAACGTTAACGAATGTAGTTGGAAGAGCTAAATGTTGCTGATGGAATGAAGGTGTTGAAGAACAGAGTATTTTTATTTGATTTGTCAAATGGG